CGTAGGAGGCCGCAAGCACCGGGCCCTTTGGAAGTTCGCCATGCAGCACAAGCGGGGCGTGTACGCCCTGATCCAGTGGACTGGGCGCCGTCCACTCAATGACGTCAAACGGCGTGCCAACAACATGCACCCAGTGACGGTGTCTGTGACGCATCACGAGGCCGCATTGCAGCACATCGTGGCCGAGGATTGTCTCAAAGTCAGTAAAGTGCGACATGCTGTCGGGCACCGGCTTCATCTCGTCGTTGCGCCAGAACAGTTCACAGGTGTGCACGTGGAAGACCAGGCCTGTCACAGCGGGCCCGCGATAAACGCCAGGCGAACACAGTACCCACGACGACGACACCGTATCCTCGTGGGATGGCTGCGCACGAATTGCACCGGAGTCTCTGGCGCCCAATAACGACGGTGCATTACCCTCAATGCTCCCAGCATGGAGGCGTTGTTCTCGGCGGCAGCCGTGTCGCCGGGAGATTGGATTCCTCCTCCTTTGCTTCTCCAACCACCAGAGAGAGCGTCGTGGCGCCACCGCCTGTGTTTTCCCTGACAAGCAATGAACGGTGAGGCAGCGCCGCCTCGGAGGGGCTGTCCGAGGAGGATGGGGCGTTGGCTCCAGCCGCCCCCTGCCCAGGCGTTGGTGCGCGGGGCGGCGTTGGTGGCCCACCCCCTGCCAGCGCCTTCACCACAGCCGTCGCTCGCACATCCCCCGGTGGCTGCGGTGGCTGCTGCTCCCCGCCGCTCACGACGCACCGCGCCGCCCCACCACTTAAAACGGTTTCCGTCTGCGGTGGCACCTCAACAACTGTTGTGGCGTGCGGCTCTGGCGGAGTCGGCGCAAGTAATCCCACCTGCTTTGTCGACTTACTGCCGCCCCCGTCACCGCCAGCCTCCGCCTCGCGTGGGAGGCTACGAGTGGCGGAGGAAGCAGGTGCTGCGGGGGGCACAAACGGGTGCTGCCGGCAGCGCTCCTCCCCCACAACGTACGGAATGTCGTTTATCAACGCCTCCGCACTTTCGCGTAGGCATGCGTCGATGCACGCCGTTGACCTCCGCGCCCTCTCCGCGTCGCGGCGTATCATAAGCAGCGAGTGGATATCCTCGTCTGTGTCCAGGTCGGGAATGTTCCCAAGTAACACCCCCCGCACGCGGCTGCCAAGAAACGGGTAGCGCAACAACATTTGCGCCGTCGCATTGCCCAACTCCTCAGCAAAGGACTCAATCGCGGCACTGACAGAGTCTTCAACCAACGCTATCAAACGATAGTC